CCCCAAAACCCCAAAACCCCATGGATGAAAATAAAGGATCATCTTAGGAATATTTAAACATTGCAAAAATCATATCTATATTAATAATTATTAACAATTATCGGAGGAATCATGAGATTTATTTCTCAACATAATAACAAAATTTTTAAATTTTCTACTTAATACAATACAGTTCTAGTAATAAGCATAATTCTGAGTCTTGCAGCTGCAGCTTGAAATAATAAAACAGAGCTTTATATGAAGTATCCTTAGCTGCAATAAGGCAAGATGACTGAATGCTAAAGAGAAATAAGTAAAATGCTAATTAATTTCAATCATTATCCCTATGATCAAATGATTCTTAACTCTGGCCACAATTTAAATGAATTAGGAAGCTACAGAGCATGTCAATATAATCTAAATAATAAAAGTGATTTTTCCCTAATGTATTTCAATGTTTCTCATCTTCCTCTAGCGTTATACCTTGGTGTCTGCTTGCCAAAGGAGTGTTCACAGAATGAATAGATAAAATTTTAAGATGGCCTAAATAATCTACTCAATCATGCGTATATCTCACTTTAAGAATAATAACCGATAGAAACAGATTTATCTAAAACATGGACTAGATTTGAAATTAGCATTATTAAAGTAAAATAAGAATCCTATGATTGGAATGAAGAAACTAGAATTGGATTTTATTGTTGCATGGCTTTTATAGGAATTTTCCTGATCATATTTAGTCTTTTACCTAGCTTTTTGCATTCGATTTAAATGGTTTCTAATAGTCAATAGTAGTCATCTATACTGAAAATATAGCCAAAATAAATAGAGTAATCATTCGATATGAATGCTGATAAGTCAGATGATTCAAATATAAAATCAAATTAATTGAACTTAAACAACATTGAGGCTTAAGTTAGCGTTATAATGAATTCAGAAATTATCTAAGAACCAGGAGCTATCTTCGCATTTAAGAATTAGTAGTATTCTAAAAAGAGGATAATACTACCGCCTATCATCTAAAAATAAAAAACAGTACCAACAATGAGTATGAGTACCTTGAAAATAATTTTTGAAAATACTCAGAAATAATTGATTCAAGAGGCAGGCCCAACTTCTGATGTTGAACAAAAAGTTTCTCATAGTCTATCATTTTCAAAGACAGATAAATCAGTAGAAATATTATCTTCAGATAGGCTTTGTTGAAGAATATGGAAGTATTTGGTGTTAAAAGCTGAAAAATATTCAATAATTAGTGCCTTTGATGAACTTAAGAAATCAAGAAGAAAAGAAGGGGATCATGAGGAGTTAGATATGCTCGAAGTTTTTAGGTTGTTTTCATAACTAATGATACAAATGAATGCAACATCTTTTTATCTTATGACTGGACCAACTTTCAACAACTGGAAAATACTTGACTTTTTCTAATAAGTTATCTTTACTATAGTCATTAGTGGAACTATTCCAATGGAGTGCTTTTTATTTATTTCTGCATTTTTAGGATCATACAGGCTATTACAAGTGCAGGAAGCAAGAGGAGGTTATTTTACATTTAAAGATGCTTTGAAGCTAATTGGGAGGAAGCTTGCAAGACTAATTCCATTATATTATATAACTCTTTTCTTTGGTTGGGCCGTAAGTTCAAGATTTTTCGAGGGACCTCTATATGGAATTAGTAAAAAATTATATCTTAATTGTGATAAGTACTGGTGGACTTAGTTAATATTTATCGGAAACTTCTTTCCATTTATGGGTGAAGCAACACAAGGATGTATGTATTGGTCTTGGTTCGTTTAGGCCGATGTCCAACTCTACTCTTTAATTCCATTATATCTATACCTCTACAGAAAATCTAAAACGATAGCTATTGCCATCATGATATTTTTATCCTTATTCGGAATATTTTACAATATTTTTGAGGTTTACAGACTCTAACTCAGAGCAGGACCCTTTGCAATTGAAAATTTTGACCTGTTTGCTATTCTTTTCAATAAACCTTATACAAAGTTTCAATACCATATTCCAGGTGTATTTTTTGCTATTTTCTATATGGAATTGCTGAGATACAGAAGAGCTTCTGATGAAGTAAAGAAAGAAAAGTATTTTATCATTCATTATTTTACAAAAGCAAATTGGATAGGACAGGTATTTCTACTTGTCGGATAGTTCTTAGTTGTATTGACATTATTCTCGAATCATGAAGCAGTTAAGGACAGCTATAAATGGTCTACTCTAGAAAATGCTATGTATTTTGGATTCAATAGGCCAGCCTACATGATTGGCATTATACTTATTTATTCTGCAGTGGTTCTTGGTCATTTTGAAGGACCCAGAAAGTTATTAAACCATGATATTATTCGAGCCATTGGAAAACTTACATATGCAATTGGCTTGTTATGCCCTATTATTATAAATCTAGCCTTATTAGGATAAGAAAGTGCATATTATTTAGCTTTTTGGAGTGTTATTTATCTTTGTATAGGAAATTTAGTAGTTTTACTTATCTGCAGCTTTTTAGTATATTTAATGATAGAATATCCATGTAAAAGATTAGTTTATGGAATTTGAATAATAATAATT